GTTCAAATCTCTCCGACCGCTGCTCAAACTCTGAACTGATCTTTGGACCAATCGATCATCAAGCTGATTGATATGACAGCGAGAGTTGTTTGCAGTGCCGTCCTTCGGCCAATCAGAGACGTCAAAGTCACGGCGAGGGAGGGGGGGTCGTGTTACAGGAAGCAGCAGAGCCCAGCAGGGATGCCATGAATTATTGATCAGCTTAATGGACAAGCTTTCATTTTTCTTGCGTCACGTTGAGTTTGGACTCTGTGAAGACGACAGCCGCAGTCACCTGAGATTTCCCATGAGGCCTCAGTCACAGCTCGCCAAGGAGACACGACAAACCTCATCCTGACCGCCGCCAAGGCGGGGCAAGTCGAGCGAACGCAGACGAGCCCGGACGTTTAAAGTCACCGCTGAGATTTCATCACCTGAACACAACCTGACACACAGGGCCTTCCAAACCTNTAACACAACTGGACCATGAGCTTTATGCCGACACACTGATGGTTCTGGATCTGAAGCTGCTCTGAAACGGCTCCAAGTGACTTTCTGACTGGTTCTAGTCACTGATTTGCTTCTTCAGGTCTTTGCTAGCCCTCACCCTGACCCTCCTCCGGGTCTTTGCTGGCCCTCACCCTGACCCTCCTCCGGGTCTTTGCTGGCCCTCGCCCTGACCCTCCTCCGGGTCTTTGCTAGCCCTCACCCTGACCCTCCTCCGGGTCTTTGCTGGCCCTCACCCTGACCCTCCTCCGGGTCTTTGCTGGCCCTAACTGTCCGTTTAAACATGGTTTTAACAAGCAGATGTAAACTTTTAAACATGATTGTAAAAACACTGGGATTGTTTCTATATGTTTTATTACATTATTGCGACCAATAATCACAATGATGATGACTGATTAGTGATCATTGATCAGTGATCACAGAGTCATGGGGCTCAGTGAGAGGTGGTCAGCTCACCTGCAGTGATGTCACACTGGGCTTCCAGTCAGATTTCAGAATAAAGCTCAGTGTGTTTCAGCAGGTTAGGGTCTGTTCCACGTCTCACTTCATGTGTTCATCATGTGCTCATGTGTTCATTACTGTGTTTGGGCTTCTTCTGGAAAAACCTCAGCTACTCTGCTTCTTCCTGCTGGTGCTGTTTCCATGACGACGTAGCAGCATCTCAATCTCAGAGGAAGCTGCTGGACCATCAAAGCTGCAGAAAACTGACAGAAACTGTGAGTGCTGGTCACCGTGGACGGGTTAGTTAGCTGATCGTCCACATCCCTTATGGGTAGTTATGTTAGTTACTACTGGTTACTGATCTATCGGAGGTCACCTGTTGTCACTTCTCAGAACGCGTTCAGGTTTTAAGGCCTGTGGGATGTGAGCAGCTTTTCTATGTTCTTGTGATAAAGGAACCAGACAAGCGACTGAAGAACAGGTGAGACTCAGCAGGTATGAATGTTGGACTTCAGTCCCACCTGAAGGTCACATGACTGCTGAGGACCAGACAGGTGTAGCAGAACTCCAGACCTCATTCACACCTGAGTCCTGCTACAGTCTCACTGAATGAACACATGATGGTCGTCCTCATCATGTATACCATCATCATCATCACCATCATCTTATTATTATTATTATTATTATTATTATTATTATTANCCTGGTCCAAACCTTCCAAACCCTGGTCCAAACTTTCCAAACCCTGGTCCAAACCTTCCAAACCCTAATCCAAACCTTCCAAACTCTAAACCAAACCTTCCAAACCCTAATCCAAACCTTCCAAACTCTAAACCAAACCTTCCAAACCCTGATCCAAACCTTCCAAACTCTAAACCAAACCTTCCAAACCCTGGTCCAAACCTTCCAAACTCTGGTCCAAAACTTCCAAACCCTAATCCAAACTTTCCAAGCCCTGGTCCAAACCTTCCAAACCTGCTCTAAACTGAGCTTTAAGGTGAAATATTACAAACTAATTTATTCATCAGACTTTTTTGAGCGTTACAGTTTAAACTTTTCAGTAAATCTGTTGATCTGAGAAAAGACGAAGATCAATATATCTGATCAGTGAGAGATGAATCAATACATCAGGTTCTGATCAATGAGAGATCAATCAATATACTGATGATCGATCATCATGTTGCTCCTGGGATGATGCTGCACAGCTACACCTGAGCTGACGTCACCTGATTGATCACCTGACTGATCACCTGACTGATCCGACCGTGACGTCACAATGCGCTGGATCAGCTGGAAGTCCTGCTGCGGCTCGCTGCGGGAGATGTCTGGCCAGAGGCTCATGCTGTGGCCGACAGGTACACAGCGACCCGGTCCGACACACAGCGACCCGGTCCGGCTCAGACTGACACACACACTGTCAACACAGCTGCAGCATGGCTGCTTCCGGGAGGACAGGGCATGCGCAGAAAGAAAGGAGCTGCATTCACAGACTGTGGAAGAACCTTGGAGTGGAGCCTTCATTCCCCAAACTGGAACCACGTCTGACACTTTGGATCTCTGGCTCATGCTGCGTCTTTCATGTCACGTTGTTGTTTTGTGTCGCTGCTGCTTGCGGCTCCCTGAGGCTCGGCTGTGCAGCAGCTTTACGGCTGTTGTCTGATGTCTTCGTTCTGACTGTTGTCAGGATTCACAGGTTTTGTCAATAAAGATATTCTTCGTCTATGAGCCGTAACGTTACAATAAAAACTTCATCAGTGAAATCAAGTGTTTGAGCTAAATTCATGTTTAGGCAGAAACCTGAATTATATGAGTTGAACTCATTGACGGGTCAGAACACCTGGACTGGTTCTGATGTAGAACGCAGGCTCCATCCACGATAAAGTCCATGTTGTCCTTCTTTAGCTTCCAGTGAATCCAGAATTCTGAACCACCAACGATGGAACAGATTTATTAAAGGTTTTCTGGAAATGTGAAAAATCAGCTGTCAAAATGCACAGATATACAGAAATGTTAACATCTGGTTCAGTCTGTCCATGTTCTCCTCAGTCCTGGTTC